TCTTTTAAAGACATTAAAATATTAAGAAAAGCATGTTCTATGCATATCCATGGGTCTTACATCCATTTCCTCATTTGTGGTGCTCTTTACTCTTTTGTATAAATCAATTTTTCCACTTGGTACCATTTTTTCTGTTGCCTGCAGGACTTCTAACTGTTCTTGTGTGTAGACTTTTGGGTGATTTCCAGCATTTCTTTTTAGGTGTCTGAAAACTTGCTTGTTCCACCTTCACTGGACCATCTGAGTACTGCCCACTGTCCCTCTACTCCCTGGGTGATTCTTTCCCTGGACTAGAACAGTGACCTCGCACCCATGTGCTATCCACATTCTGCACCTCTCCTCTGCCAGCTTTCTCCTCTCCAGCATTCTGGTCTGCAAATCATAGCAATGTTAGCTAGCGTTAGGGAGTTCTCTATGGATCCTGGGTCCCTTCCCACTCAATTACTTGAAAATTATCTCACGAAGTAAACTGCTCACCTAAGTTCTGATAGTTTCTCAGGGACACTGCCCTTCATTATCTTATATCCAGTGTCTTTTGTTTTTTCCTTTATACATTTTGTCTTTTTAATTTTCTTCTGTATGTTTCAGGTAGAGGTTAAATTTGGTTTCTGTTACTTCATCTTGGCTGCAATACAGCTGCCCATTGGCTGTCCTTTTAATGTCATGTTTTAGGATTTTTATATTTTAAAAACTTTCATCTTTGTTTCAGCACTGCTGTATGCTTTCAGCTCCTCCGGTCCTTGGGTAAATCTTCATTTGCTCTGATGGTCTGGAGTGTGGAGATGATTGTGCCTCCTCTCCAGGGGCAGACAGTTGGTTTTGTGCATTTTCTTTCATGGTCACTGAAGCAATTCTCGGTTTTCCTGCCTCTTTTGTGAGTTATGAAATCTTTGTCCTTGTCCTTAGTTTAGAGCTTCTGAAAGTAATTATATAGCAGAAACGCAAGGTTTTAAGATTAACCTGTGTCTACTGCTTTGAACTCTGTTACTTTTTACTTGCATTTATTAGTGATTTTTTTTTTTTGCTAATTAATAGCAGCCTGCTAGCTTCCTCAATCTCATAGTTCTTCTAAACTTTTCCTATTTGTCACTAAACTGAGAAAAGATTACTATGACAGAATGCATGAAAATTCCTCTCTTACCTTAGCTATTATTAGCCTCTTTTTTGCATCTGAGTGCATTTCAGTGGTTTTGACATTAAAATCCCCAGAGGCCGGCTGCTGGAACAAACGATATCTAGATGTCCCACATAATTCTAAAACCGTCATCATCTTACTACTCTCCTTTGCTAAGAAACAGGTAGTGGTTCAACTGTGTGTGTGACAGGACCATCAGAGCTGCCCTCTGGCTGTTTCTGTGTTCTGTAAAGGCCTCGTCTTGTCCTGGCACACTGTGACTGTGCTCCTTTAGAATCATAGCATAGTGAAGACTTTTTTATAGGCACCAAAATCAGATTTTGAGTAGAAAAATTATTTTAGAAATGATATACATATTGCTAATTCACAAAAAAAAATTTCTTCAGTTTAAAACTTGTCTGGATACATAAAAATACACCTCAATTTTTTTTCTGTTGTGATATTTGTATCATAAGTGGGCTTGTATAGGGCTTAATGGTGTTTTTAGTAAATTATAATAATTACATGTCAGTGAAAAACTTAAATTACTTTGCAGTAATTTATACACCATAGGATATTCTTTAGTATCTATTAGGTTGGTTTTCATATGAGATTATTATATTGCAAGTTTATACATTCTCTTAAAAATTATGCTCAGCAATGTTTCCATGCATATCACTTAATGACTATGATTAAAAGAAAAAGCATAGCTGTATTTTTCTCAATATTATTCTGTGAATCTGCAATTTAAAATAGTTTTGGAAATAATCTAGTTCAGCACTAAATATTTTTCTTAGATATAATTATTTTTAGTTATACATTGTATGAAATATCTAAAATAGAGAAGATAAATGCAGAATACGACAATGATCACTTAGATTTTTCCTTGCTTTTATTTAGGTAAAATAAGATTTTGTGACATTAAAGTCTTTAACAGGGGATTTTTAATGATCTCAACAATAACCACATTTAACCATGCTTGTGTTCAGGTGTCGTGAAGAGCCCTCCAATTTTAATATACTATGAGCTCCAGAGTATTTTACTACTAAAGGATGCACATTTAGTCTGCAATTGGAAGGCAATAAATAAATTAAAAACACGGAAGGAAAATATTAAAAATATGCACAAGATAGGCCATCAGTGTGTTTTTATCCCGTAGACATAGCTACATGGGAGAGAGAAGTATAATCACAGATTGCTTTCAAGCAGGTGTCGGAGCCACGGGCGTTAGTGACATGACCCTGACAGCCTCTCTCAGTTACTTGGCTTGTCCACTTCCTGATGAGGAAGACAGATAGAGCATTCCAGAGAATGACACCCACACCACCCACGCAGGGCATCTGCTCCTGTGTACAGTTTTGGAGTTTTACTAGAAAATCTGGATTCTGTTCTCTTTGCCATTCTCTATCCTGTAAAAATACACTTTAAGAAATTCACCTTAATGGGCAGCACCTGTGGCTCAGAGGAATTGAGGACCAGCCCCATATACCAGAGGTGGCGGGTTCAAACCTGGCCCTGGCCAAAAAAAAAAAAAAAAAGAAAGAAAGAAAGAAAAGAAAAAACAAGAAATTCACCTTAAGAAAGCAATTTGTCAATTACCTTCTTAAATGTAATATATTTTGACTATTCTCAGCAGAGGCAGATTTAACCTAGATCAACTAATGAATTATTTAAAAATTGACAGTTTTCTATAGAATTATTAGAGATAAAACCTACCAAGTTTTGTTTTTTTCTTTTTTGGTCTTTGCTGAAAACCTGGCCCCCTTCCTTCCATTCTTGCAGCATAAAGGATGTAAGGGCACAGGAAAGTGGCGTTGATGACACTTTCAGTCAGAACAAGATGAAGCAATAGCATTTCTGCTAATCTTTCAACAGAATTCTCTCTAGCACTTTAAGAGTGGAGAGTTCTGTTTAGATAGTATAAATTTAAGTGCATGATGATTATGCTGCTTTGATTTTTAGTTTACATTTGAATCCCAGTTTATTAATTTGGATCTGATACATAGTTGGAAGAGCACCACTTTGATTTTAATCATATAGTTTGAATGTTTTAATCCAAAACTGCAAAATATTCTTAAACCCTGATAGCACCACATGACCACATCTCAGCAAAGCCAAATTTGGTGTTTGGGTACTTCACTTCATATTCCATAGATAAAATGATGATCAAAATCTCAGGTATCCAGAGTAGCATTAGTCTAAGCCTCATAAATAAACATCAGAGAAATCGGAGTTTTCTCCCTTAGAATTGCTGCGCAGTAATCTAGAGCACAGTGACTGAGAGAAAGTGCCCAGTCCAGGGGGGATGCCTAGTGTAGAGAGCTGAACTCAAATCCTTAACAAGGGTCCAGCTGTGTGACTTTGCAGAGTTAGGATCCTTTCCAGGACGTGCTTTCCTCAACATCTAAAGTGTAGATGGTGATAGCAACTGCTTTTGTTGAGCTTAAAACCAGGACGTATAGCAGACATTTACAACAAGTTAACGCCTGCTTTTACGCTTTGCTCATGTTCTAGGCCAGGCTATTTGGCTGAGGGAACAGAACGCACACCTGTGCGAAAATACGTATTTTGTGTCTCAATCCCCCAACCCAGAGAACACAGGGCACATAACTGAAACAAAAGATTCACAAAGTAGTGTTCACTTACCCATTGTGGCCACGCACTGTGCGTTCCAGCAAATACACAGTCCGCCTCCTGTTAGGAGGGCCGCGCCCCTGGCCAGCCTGGCTCCTCAGCGTACCACTCGCCCCCACCCCACCTCCGGAGCCCAGGACAGTGTTTTTTGGCACAGAGGAAATATTTTCTTTATGGAGGATGAAAGAACCAGTGAATGAGTGAGTTGTGACTATCACACGATGGGTGTCAAGCTCTTCCAAGTGTCTCTCTTACTTATCCCCCGGGAAGATGTCAGCACTGGGATCTTAAATACACAACATGCAGCAGGGGGAATGTCCTATGTATTTTTAAAAGTTTTCTAATTTCGATTCCTTGGGTTCTGGGGAAGTAAAGCTGTAAAGGTGGTTTTGCTGATGTTAGTGGGGGTGGCAGAGCGGGTAGGGGGCTTTCTGTTTCTAAAGAAGATGACGGGTAAGAGCTCGATCAAGAACCTCAGGGACTCCAAGTACAGAATGTCCCCAGAGTCACATGCCCAGAAAAAGTCCCGCTACAGCAGGTAACTCGGACCCTGCGGCCCGGCGCCGAGAGCGGACTGCGCGTGAGCGCGCCTAGACCGAGGCGGCCAACAGGTAGAGAATATTTTGTAAGTATTCTGTAAAGTTCGGTAATGAATATCTTGGGAATAAAGCTGCATTTAGCCGCGATTTCCCATTTTCCCCGTGCGTGGCGACCCCAGGCTTTATTCCGGGGTTGCTGGTTCTTGGAGTCCCGGCAGGCAGCACCGAAGCGCAGCGCAGGGTACGTTCCTGCCGGATCTCCTGATGCAACCGCCGACTGATTCCGCGTCCACGCACGGGGAGCTTTTGGTCAGGGGCTCCCACATCCCGCACTCTGTTCATCCCTGGACCTGGGCTCCGGGAAAGGTGCGCCGCGTCCCGAGAGCCTGGAGGGCGGATTCCCGCCTGGGGCGGCGACAGGACTCTCGCCCCGACTCGTGCCGGGTCGGCCCCCCCGCCGCGTCCAGGTGCGTCCCCCCCACCCCCACAGGTGTGTCACAGCCGCGGGCCAAGCGCGCAGCCTACGGGGTGGACGCCGGCGCCCGAGGCAGCCGAGCTGGAGGAGGAGAGTCGGAGCCGCCGCAGGAGAGGGAGGGCAGGGAGGCGGAACTCCTCCCGCACGCGGGCGCTGTCACCTGCCCGCGGGAGGAGCCAGAGAGCGACCCGGCGTTTGCTGCTCCAAGCCACCGGCGTCGGGAGAGCCCCTCCTGACCATGAAGGGCTCCAAGGGCGTCGAGAACCCGGCTTTCGTCCCCAGCCCGGACACTCCGCGCCGCTCCTCCGCATCGCCATCCCAGGTCGACGTGTCTGCCTCGTCCTCCGTCCCCCGGAGAGAGGATTCTCAGCTACCGGAGCCCCAGGAGCCCCAGAAGTCACCTGAGCCCCCTCCGCTTTCAGCAGCGGCCCAGGTCTCCCAGGAGCAGCCCGGGCCACAGCTGCTGTCGGAGCTCGGGGAGGGGCCGTGCGGCTGGGGAAGCTTCCACCCGCGGTGTCTGCAGCGCTGCAACACGCCGCGAGGCTTCCTGCTGCACTACTGCCTGCTGGCCCTCACGCAAGGTGGGTGCGGGGGCGCGGAGAGCGGGAGCAGTGGGCAGGTGCGGTCCCCCGGCAGGCGCGGTCCCCGGGCAGGTGCAGGTCCCCCGGCAGGTGCGGTACCCAGGTAGGTGCAGGTCCCCCGGCAGGTGCGGTACCCAGGTAGGTGCAGGTGTGGTCCCCGGCGGTGGAGGCGCCGCGCGGCAGCCTCAAGCTTGCACTTCGCGTTCGCAGCCCCGGCGCCCAGACACCGATCCCGCCTTCTCGTTTGGCTTCTCCTTCAGGGCAGCATTTGAATGTCTCTGTACAAGCTTCTCCCGCCTGCCTACCCCACCCGCCGGCCGCCTTTAGCGTTCTCAGTTTAGCGCATCCCATACCTCTGGGGAAGATTACAAGAACTTGCCCTTCGGGAAGGTTTACCCTGGGGGAGCTTACTTTACATTACAGAAGTCTACCTTTCACTGAATCCATTGTTAAACGAATTTTGTGTTACCTTGCTTCCTGGGGGAAGAATTTACAAGAGTAGGATGTCTCTCAAAAGAGAAAGCTATTTGAAATCAATCTGATGGGGTATCTGCATCCACGTTTCCTGACTTTGGGAGAATTGTGGGCCACAGGGCAGCCGGGTGAAGGAGCGCAAGCTTCCCACGCCGCCCAGGCGAGCCCGACAGTGGTTTCCAGCCTCTGTTGTGTTCTAGCTGGGCTCTCTTTAGGTTCTTCTGGGAGCTGCAGATTAAGCCCAGGTTTATGCCCTTAGGAGTTAGGGCGCTAAACCGAGTTTGGAGGCGGGAGTGATGTGGTGGAGGGAGAGTGGGTCCCTTCATGGAAACAGGAAAGGCGAGAGCGCCAGGGCAGGGGACCAGAGGGAGAAACGGGAAGTCACGGAAGGGGACCCACTGAAGGGGTGGAGATGAAGGGTAGTCTGAATCTGCCTGACATATTTTTTGGTCACTTGAGTCACAGTCTCAGAATATTTTGCAAATAATCCAAGTCCAGAAGAGAAGTTTTACCATTAAAGGCTATAAATTTCCTCGAATGATTTTTAATTAGTAGCATTGTGGTTGTCTAGGGAAGTTGATTTTTGCATGAGGGAAATTTTTACATTAAAGCGTTATCTCCTTATTCAAATGCCTTTCCTAGGTACTTTAAATACTTTATCTTGAAATCTCAGCAATTGTAAATTAGTTTATAGCCTTATTAAGCCAGTGTAACAGTAAAAGTTAGGTTTGGACTTTTGAAACCTGTTGTATTTCTTTTTTTATGAGATATATTTTCAGCTATAGTCTTGGTAAAGCGACATTTAAAGAGATTATAGAAACCGTGTCTGTGTGTACTCACTCGGTTAACAAGTGAATGAAAACAGTTCACAAAACCTCTTAAGTAAAAGAAGTAACTGGTTGAAATTTGACCAGATGCTGTTTATTTTTAGTTTACAGTAATGTTTAAAGTCCTGTGAGTTTAATCTGTTTGGACAGAACGTTTTAAAGTCAGAATTGATTTTCGGTCCATCCTGGTTTATCTTCCTTCATTATAGTCACAATAACAAGCAGGTGAAGTGTAAGTTTCTTTTTAACTTTTTTCGTTTACTTTGGTTATGATTTAGAATGCTAGTGGCTAAAATAGGCCTTTAGCTTATATTTACTTTCGCAGAACTTCTAAAATAACTTAATATCTGTAAGAGTATTAGAAAAAATAGAAATTTGGGAGGTCAATTTCTCCTTCTTAGGACCAATCAAGGTGCTCTCTTGTTACGGATAAATACGTGTAAGGACTGAGGAACTTCAGAGCAGCTGAGTGTGGCTGTGGTGGTCCCTGGGGTCCCTTCTGACTTTGTACTCTTCTGAGTGAGATCTGTGGTGAACTTGCCTCGGGAACTCCAGCAAACTGGCTTCATGGGGCTGGACAGTCTGACTTTTTGTTTGTCATTTAAAGAAAAATGAATTGAGGATAGTTAACTGTGATTTAGTACATGGTGGACAAGCACTCATCAGTTTTTCTGGACACCTGAAAACTCACAAGTGTATACTTAAAAAGCAATCTTACCTTAAAGTATGTTGGGGCTGCCTCACTATGACACTTATAGACATTTAAAATTGGCACGTTAATACCAAAAAACCCCAGTAAACAACCAAACCTGAGTACATTGTGTTAATCATCATAATGAACATGGTAAAGTCGTAATCATGTGTATAAATTTCCTTTTCTCTTTTTTTAGGTATTGTAGTTAATGGCCTAGTAAATATTAGTATTTCCACCATTGAGAAGCGTTATGAGATGAAGAGTTCGCTGACTGGCCTCATCTCATCCAGCTACGACATTGCGTTCTGTGTGCTGTCTCTGTTTGTCTCTTTCTTTGGGGAGAGAGGACACAAGCCCAGATGGCTCGCCTTCGCATCCTTCATGATAGGCCTGGGAGCACTTGTATTTTCCTTGCCACAATTTTTCAGTGGAGAATATCAGCTGGGGTCCATTATCGAAGGTAAGTTTCTGTGTGCTGATGTTTGTTTTGGTCTAAAGAAGCACTGCAGATCTAGGTTGTTAACTTTGCATTGCAACTCACTGCACAGCGAAGTAGGGGCTTCCCGCTCTCTCCAGCTCTCTGCTTTGTTGATTATGTGAATTGAGTGAGGTATGGGCAAGATTACAGTGATGGCTGTAGGTAACTCATTGCTTCAGTGGTTCTCTAAGTTATTAATCCTTTGAATCTCATTCCCTGCGTTACCCACAACACTTCTCAAGAAGAGATGACTGCTTTCCTTCCTGGTGTTGTGACCTCACTAGAGCTCTGAGATCCCTTTTATTTTCTTTGCTTACAGCTCTGGGCCCTGGACATGTTGATTCTTGATTTGAGACAAAGAGGGGTGACATTTATAGGAGTGGAACTTTTCCTAAGAAAAATTTACTATTGAAACTACCTCCACTTTTGGCTCTGGTTTAGAGACAGAATTTCAGAGCATTCTCTCATGTGCTTCTTTTGCTCTGGTTAGATAAAGAACTGTGTGATTCAAAGGCTAAGGAAGGAAATTTGATGACTTAAAATTCTTTCAAAGAAGCATTTTTAATGGAAAAACAATTATGGTAGAGCCAGAGAAATGTGCTAAGGAAAGTAGACCTTAACCTGTTACATCCTTCCTGAGACTCCTAATAGCAAGGATGAAATAAAATCATGAGGTTACAAATTTAGAAGCTTTCGGGGGTTAAGTCAGAAGAAAAGGCTTAGGAGAGAAAGGAGAATTGGAGCCAGCTACACTATAGGCATTATTTCTTGAAAGTTAAGATTGCTACATGTGTATGTTAATATAAAATATTAGTATTGCTATAATTTGGACATTTGTCCCCCCAGACTTCTTGTTGAAATTCAGCCCCGGTGGGAGGTGAGGACCTAATGGAGGTGTTTGGGCTGTGACAGCAGCTCCCTTGTTAATACATCAATGCCCGCTGGGCACAGCAGCGAGGTGAGAGGTGAGTGAGCTCTTAGTCTATCAGCTCCCTAGAGAGCAGCTGGTTATTAACCAGAGCCTGGCACCTCCCTCTTCCTCTCTCACCACCTGCTTGGCTCCCCCCCCACCATGAGTAGAAGCAACCAGAAGCCCTCACTGGGAATCAGATGCTGGTGCCCTGTCCTTGTATAACCCAGAAAACCAAGAGCAGATAAACCTCTTTTCTGTGTAAATTACCCAGCCTGGTGTTCCTTTATAGCAACACAAATGGATTAAAACATTAAAGTATTAATCTTTCCCAAGATCAATTTTCCAATTCTAGAATGACCATGAATAGCTAAATACTTTTATAACTAAGTATACATATTGCAGGGTGATTTTAGCATTGCACTTATTAGGTAAATAGACTTCATTTTCTTTTTTTTTTTTTTGAGACAGAGCCTCAAGCTTTCCCCCTGGGTAGAGTGCCGTGGCATTACAGCTCACAGCAACCTCCAACTCCTGGGCTCAAGCGAGTCTCTTGCCTCCGCCTCCCAAGTAGCTGGGACCACAGGCGCCCGCCACAACGCCCGGCTATTTTTTGGTTGCAGCCGTCATTGTTGTTTTGGCGGGTCCGGGCTGGGGATTCGAACCCGCCACCTTAGGTGTACGTGGCTGGCGCCTTAGCCGGTTGAGCTATAGGCGCCGAGCCAAATAGACTTCATTTTCAAAGTAAAAACAGATCATGCAAGGACATGGATGAGTAGAGAGTGTGTTTAAAGTGGAATGGATAAGATAAAGAGAATATGTTATCAGTACAAAGACCACTTATATAGATTCTAGCACCTTACTTAAGACTAAACAAAATTGCACAGGGCCAACTTGACGTGATTCCACCGGGAATTGTTCTGGGAATGAGGCACCTCCTGCAGCATGGGCTACAGTGCCACGCCTTTCAGATCTAAGGGAAAATCTGAATTTCAATCTTCCGCATGAGAAGACACGATACTGATTCTATGATAGGGGAAAGTTACTGGTGGAGAGCCTTTGCTTGGTAATCTCTGTGCTGCGTCCAGGCCTCCCCCGCGCACCAATCACATGCCTTTCTGGCTGTTACAGTAAGCAAAACTTTCCCCCAGTCCGTGACTCTCCAAACTAAAACATAAACTCTCCTTACCTTACAAAAGCCTGATCTGTCTTCAGTAATCTCAGCTTCATCACTTACCATGCACCTTTGGAGTTATGGCCAATCTGAACAATGTATATTTCCCAAAAGGAAGTGGCCACAAATTAAAGTGTATCCACGGCTGGTGATGAAGTTAAGATTTCTGAAGCCAGATCAGAAACTGCTAGTGCACTACTGAGTGCCACACGGGTTTTCACCAAGTTCTTGTTGCTGTAATTGATGTTGTCATTATTTTATTGGAGTAGATGTAGATAACTGAAATAGATTAGGTAGAGGAGTTACCTGATCTGTAAATTCTTTCCTCTAACTTAGAGAAGTTGCCTGATCTAGTAAATTCTTTCCTCTTTCCTCATAATTTAAATAATGGCTTATCTGTGGCAAATGAAAGAAAAACTCAGGCCCTTAGATTATTCTGCCACTCTTAAAGCAGGTAAGTTTTGATTTGGACGTACACAGAACTGAGATAATGGCAGTGAAACAGTTCCGTGCCATCTGAATTTTATGTATGAGTGGGAAGAAATACACAATCAATAAGATAATTGAAAGTTGAGGTGAGTAGATGAAGGGAATGAATATTATGAGGTAATAGTAAATGTTTCCCCTGGGAAGGCTACTGTGTAATAACTGGGTAACAAGGAGCCAGAGGAATGCTTTCCAGGCTGAAGAATATGGGGAGGGAGGAGGAAGAAGGGAGGGGAGGAGGTGGATGGGTGGAGGGAGGATGATTGGAGGGATCACCTCTATGGTTTATCTTACAAGGGTATAAGTGACTCTTTCTAAAAGTAGAATATAAACGTCTTAACACAATAGCTAAGAAAATCACATGAAGGCTATGTTAACCAGTTTGATGAAAATATTTCAAATTGTATATGAAAACACCACACTGTACTCCATGATTGCATTAACGTACACAGCTATGATTTAATTTAAAAAAAAAAAAAGAATGCTTTCCAGGCTGAAGAAAAATGTGGGTAAGGGTCTTGCAGCAGAGAAGAGCTTGGTAGATTTTAGGACTTGTCGGTTTGGAGGCAGCATAATCAGAGCAAGGGGGAGTGTTCTGGAGAGGCAGGTACACACCAGAAGAGCATTTAGATTTTGCTTGAAGGGCAGGGCAGAGTTGTGTAAGAATTTTGCACAGGGAAGTGCTGATCTTATTTGTGTTTTGTTTATTTTGAGACAGAGGCTCACTCTGTTGCCTCAGGCTAGAGTTCTGTGGCGTCAGCCTAACTCAGAGCAATCCCAGACTCCCAGGTTCAAGTGACCCTCCTGCTTCAGCCTCCATGTGGGTGGGACTACAGACACCCACCACCACGCCTGGCTAATTTTTCTATTTTTAGTAGACATGAGCTCTCACTGTTTCTCAGGCTGGTCTTAAACTTCTGAGCTCAAGGGAACCTCCAACTCAGCTTCCCAGAATGGCAGGATTACAGGCGTGAGTCACTAGCCCCTGCCCCTATTTGTGTTTTAAAATGGGCATTTTGGCTTTTGGAGTTCTGGGAGACAAGAGTAAGTGGGAGGAAAAAACTCGGGAAGTTTTTACTGCGGTTCATGTGAGAAATAACGGTGGCTGACACCAGGGTAGCTGCAGTGGAGATGAGAGGGGACTGATCCCGTGTGTTTCAGAGGAGAAAGAGACAGTGCTCCCCTGGCTTTATGAGGACGGGGATGCCTCTTGGTTCCCTGGCATTTGGCTTGATGACCTGGAGCCATTTAAACCAGAACTGCAGATTGGAAGCCAGAATCTGGGTTGGAGTTTTTAAGTCGGGATTTCCACGTTATATCCAATGTCGAATTATATATCCTCAGACATACGTGTTTACATAAATGTGTGCTTACTGGGCTTGATTCCTAGAAGTACAAGCACTGGATTTAAAGGGCTGCCTCATTCTAGATTTTGATATAAAATGTCACCCTGACTTCAAGAAGGAATATAGCAGTTACTCCCCACCATCAGTGTACGGAAATGCCTGGCTTCGATTTTGAATTTTTGCATTCTTTTCCTTTCCTGCAAGTTTCCTAACATAAATGCCACTGGGACGTGTGTGTACGTGTGTACAATATGACAGACACAGAATTCAAGACAGAAATGGCTTTTGCATATCTAATGTTGGGGGTCGGGGGCCCAGGTCCCTGAACCCCGTTGACCTGGTTTGATTACTCGGCTGAGCTAGAAAGTTCAACTGAGGCACGGCAGAGCCTGAAAGCAAAAGTGAGTGGAACTGGAAAAACTGGAGCGGCATAGGCAGTGCGGAGAGAGAACAAAAGTGACCTGCACAAGTTTCAGGGCAACAAAGAGAGATTTTTATTTAGAAGAATAAAAAGGAAGGTTAGAGCTCTTCCAAAGAGAGATGGGGGAGGAGGTCCCTGTCATGAAGGAGAAAGAGGGAGAGAGATGGAAATAAAAGCCAGCAGGGTATAAATGCTTCATCCAAAATTGGCTGCAAGTCCTGCCTGGGCCTCTGGCCTTGGGCAGCATTGCCCTTGGGATTGGTCATTGTCTCTTTCTATAGGTCATTGGCTACCTCAGTCCTTCATACCCACGTTCTTATGGGCCCTTGCGCCCTGGTTCCCAGGCTAGGCTTTCCTGTCACCCGCCTTGAAGCCACTTCCTCAGGGTCCCTTCTCTTCTGTTATAAAAGAACCTGGACATTAGAATGGAAGGAGTGTTAGAAATCACAATTCTACCCACCACCCTTTCTTTTACCAAACCTTAGGGCAAGAATGAAGTGAGTTCATAGTGAATGTTTAATGTTTAATCTTTAATGCTTCACATTTTTATGCTTATTACTTATGGTAGATTATTAACGATATTGAATGATTTCAATATTTTTATGAATTTAAACCATTTCTTTCCAATTTCAAGTAGTCAAGCAT